AGCCTGAACTTTGTACTGATTTCCCCCCCCGAAGAGGCAGAATTCAAGCTGTACTGCTGGGTGGAAGCCAAGTCCTCTCTCCCTATGCACACACTTCAAGCAGCTAATTAAGTATCTGAATAAACTTGACCTTTCCTTGGATCATCGGGTATGCACAACATGAAATGTCTTTGAAAGATACTTTTAGTAACTGCCATTGTTTCATCATTAAATCAGTTTTAAAATGCTATGTCATTAGAAATAAAAAAGCGTATTTCTTGCTTTAATGCATTCCATGCATTCCCTTTTTCCATCTCCAAGGTTTTAGTTTCAACACAAGGGAATGAAGTCCCAATTTCTAGTCAGTTCTTTCTTGACGCTAAAGATCACAGGAGCGTACAACTTTACCTTTCTGCAAGCCAGAAATACCAGGACTAGCAGGTTTTAAGCACTTCTTAAGAAGTGGGTCTTTCCAACTGCAGTTACCAGCACCAGCTCTCCATCCGCTGCATAGACACTGCCTCAGCTGCACTTGCAGCGCAGCTGAACTGAAGAGCAGAAGCCGATGAACTCCACTCTACGCACACCAGACGGGATAAAGCAGCTGTTCAGCTTTACCCTGGGGGGTTGCAGCCATCTTTTCCCCCCTTTTTTTTCATTTCTACACAACCAGCTGAAGTTAACACCAGCCACATTAAGTTACATGCTACTACTGATCACCTGGTAAAGCAGCATGCCATCGAACAAGCCAGAGGGTGAAGGTACAAATTAGGATTTTAAACTTAACATTTCTATTAGAAAACAGGATAAACTCTTCTCTCCTCTTCCTTTCACTGCAAATGTCACTTATGTTTTTAGACTACCTGATCTATACCAATAACAGAGAAAGCTTTAATAGCACAGAGCCCTTACCAAGGTGAAAGAGCTCAGTCTTGCAACGGATCCGTACTGTCTCACTGACACGCAGGTCTTCCCTACGGATCTTCCTTTCTAAGGATCTTTTTGAGGACTAAAGCCATAGCACTGACTGTTGCCAACGCTGTGGCCGCCATATCTCATCGTAACTTACAGCCACCACCAAGCGGAGGGCTAAGTCTCTGAAAATGTCAGTGACATTTTCCCGGCATTATTTTTAAAAGGCAAGTCTAGGAGCTTGACCCTGAGCATATCGTAACACCAAGTAAACTGTCAAGAAACACAGCTGAAATGCTGAAAAACAGACCGACCCTCTTGACTGTACTACTGAAACGCCTACGAAACAGGGCCTCAAGGAGCTTCTTGGAATTGCAAGAACAATAGTAAGAGATTTATTTCTCTCCTCTTTGTGGCAGGATGACAGAAGGCAGGTACCTGACAAAATCCTGACAAGGTAGTAATGGTAATACCCCCCTCTCTTGGTCACATTACCAAGCAAATAGTGTGATATATATCCAGCAACTATAGCAAGGAAATTTCAGCATCACTCTGACGAAAGGTCCGCAGAGCTATTTGTCAATCCGTAGCAAAACCCAAAGATGCACTGATTTGTTCCAACAACTGCATGCAGGCTACTTTTACAACATACTAAACGTATGTATCTCAATCTAACTGCATAATAGTCACTAGAAGATCTTAGCAACAAAAGGCAGCTTCAGCCTGCAGCACTACACCTGACTATGAAGTAGTAAGTCCATGTAACAAACTCTTTGCGCTCCCACTGATGGTCCAAAGTCTGATGAAACCAATGTCAACAAATGCCAGCCATGCACGTGGCAGCCCAAACCTGACTTTCATGAAAAGGGTGCTGCTACCGGCAGCCAATATCAGCACAGCACTATTCACCTGCCATGACCTGCACTGCTGGAAGATCCCAAAGCTTGAAGCATCGGGAGCGGGGGTAGCAACCCTGACAACGCTAACATCTCTTGACACAGAAGGTGGTCTCTAGGGATAAGGTGGTCTCTAGGGATATGGACAAAGATTAGTGTTGACCCTCTCTTCCACCAGTGGAGCAGGACATGGTCAACTTCATCACACCTCTATCAACAGATGCATAGGTAGATGCTGAGACCGCCTTGATTCATGATCATATAGTTGAGCCGTGACCACTTTCATTCTCCTGCACTAGCACAAGGCTGCCGTGGATCTATACATAACCATGCCAACATAAAAACCAGTATGCCTCTACAAAAACACTCTCCACCCGTCAGATTTAGATCAACTTCTGATGAGTTACTGTTGTCTCTCCTCCAATTCAATTCCAGCCCTTCTTTGAATTAACTTTATAGTTAACTATGTTCCTTCTGCTTAACGTGTGAAGTTCCTCCCCTTTATTGATCAGGCTTGAAGAAACCCACAATCTGTTAAATACCATCTGCATACCATAGCACTTTATACAGCTGGAGTTAGCCATTAACCCCTCCCCACTAAGCCCAATTGCAAGCCTTCTTCATTTACACACTTACCTGATCAACATAACACAGTAGCCTCTGAATACAGAGGACAATATGTTAATAGTAAGGAAGGTTCGAAGTAATAATACACCAAAATCACAGCATGACAGACATGGGTGAGGTACCAGGAAAAAAAGACGACTCCGGGGTAAGGATAACGGCATGCAACATACCAGAAGAATCATCAGAGCCCCCAAACTGGGCAAATTTTAAGGGAATTTAAGCCAAAGATCCA